GGCGGGGGGGCTGATGGGGCGCTACGAGGGTCTGGCGTCGGGGGTCGGGGTGCCTCCGTGGGGCTGGCGGCTCTGCCTGGCCCACCAGTTCGGCGAGCGGAGGAAGCCCTACCAGGCCGGCGACGTCTCCGCCTCCGACGCCTTCAGGCACCTCGGCCTGGCCCTGCGGTGAGGAGGAGCGCCGCGCCGCCCTCTGTGCATGCTCAGAGGGGAGGGAGGGAGGGAGGGCGCTGGGGGGACGGGACCCCCCTCTCCCCCCCGCCTCCTTCTCACCCCCCCTCCTCCGGCGGCCCCGATCCAGGTACTTCAGGTGGTGGTACCGCAAGACGCGCGTGGAGAAGAGGCGCCCCGTCATCGACCTCTTCAACCCGCAGCCGCTGCGCCAGATCTACGGTCAGCCTCCCGGGGGGGGGGGGGGGAGGGGCTGCTGCGGCGGCTTTGGGGCTCCCGCTCGGGAGGGCGGGAGCGCTGACCGGCCTGCCTGCCTCCTCTTCTCCGGCCCTCTCTGCAGGCTGCCCGCTGGGGGGCTTTGGAGGAGGAACCATCACGCGAGGGTGGCGGGGGGACTTCTGCCGCTGGCAGTTGAACCCGGGACTCTACCACTACAAGGCGGTGGCTGCTGACCAGGTGCGTGGCCTGCCGGGCTGGCGGGGGGGGGCCCTACCCCCCACCCCCCCACCCCCTACGTGGCCACCGTGGCCGTCCTGGTGGGCCTCTCTCACCCAGGGCTTCCCCTCCTCCCTGCCTCCCTCCCGCCCAGTTCACCGTCTGCCTGCGTCGGAAGGGCCAGACCGTCTACCAGCAGGTGCTGTCGGTGGAGCGCCCAAGCAGCCTGCAGGGCTGGAACTGGGGCTTCTGCGCCCACTACGCCTTCTACCACGGCCTCTACCCGCGGGCCTGGACCGTCTACCAGCTGCCTGGGCAGGACGTGGTGCTGACTTGCCGGCAGGTAGCCCCCATCATCCCCCATGACTACCAGGTGAGCTGGCTTCCCGCGGGCTCCCCCCCCCCGCTCACTCTCTCCAGGAAAGTGCAGCCGGCTCCTGGGCGAGGGAGGGTGAGCTCCCAAAGCGGTGAGCCTGCGGGGCGGCTCCTTCCTGGCAAGCGCTGAGCCACCTGCCGTCTCTGCTTAGTAAGGAGTCGAGGGCGGGAATCATGGCCAGGAGGGCTCCCAGCACCCGAAGCCCTTGGCCCCAGGGCCTGTGCCTGGCGAGAAGCCAGCCATCTTCCTGGCAGTGGCACACACACACACGCACACACCGCCCGGCCTGCTCGGGTTTGTGTGTCTGTAAGCAGAGCATAGCCGCGGCGTTCCACAGTCCCCCGGTTTCTGCCTCCTGGCTTGCTGGATGGGCACCCTCGCCTCTCTTGACCTGGTGAGGTGGCGCCAGAGGTGCCCTCCCGTGTGGGAGGTGGCAGGCGGGCAGCGGCTGGGCCCCCAGGCCCAGAGGCTGCAGGAGAAGCCCTGGGTGGAGCTCGGTCAGCCTTACTTGGCAGGCGAGGCAGGGCGGCCCCCGTGTCTCTTGCGCAGGTCTGTGTCTTGTTCCAGAGTCCTTGAGCCAGCTTATTAACTAGCACAGCCAATGTGCTGCCTGTGCTTGGCTTCAGGTGCTGCCGCAGGTGAAACGACCTTTGCCACGGTGTAAACCGGGCTGCCTGACAACACACCAGAAGTCTGGCCTTGCCCAAGAGGTGGGGGTGCCGTGGTGCTCTCTGCCGGCCATTGCTGTGCCGCACAGCCCCGGACGCTTGGACGGGCCGGAAGCCTCGCGCTGGTGGGGGAGCTGGGATTCCGCCTTGGGGGCAGGCGTGGGAAGGTGTGCCGAGTCTCAGCCACCTCGTGGGGCTCTTTCAAGGCAGGAGATGGTTTCCTGTTGCCTGCCTGACTCGTGGGGGGGGGGAGGCCAGGGCGGGATAGGAGCCTCATAAATAAAATAATAGTATCTAGCTGTCCTTGGGGGTCTCCCAGCCAGATAATAGCCAGGGGTGACCCTGCTCAGTGTCCGAGATGGGGCTAGCTCGGGCTGTCTGGGGTTTCGTGTTTCATTTCCCCAAGCGTTCCTCTAATCAGGACCTGGGGCAGCTTTTGGCTCCTTTAGAACAACTGCAAGAATAACTTGTCACCAGCAAGCGCCCGTGAAGTGAGTAAAAACCCCCCGAGGCGTCTCTCCTTCGCCCCTTTGGCCGCTCCTAGGCCACCGCGTTCCGTTCCGTAGGCCCCCACGGCCTCTCCTCTGGGTCCGGCTCTTCTTGTCCAAGGCATCAGAGCCCCCCCCCCCCGCCAGCCATGCGGCCTTCCCCAGGCACCTCGTTCTCCCCTCTGCCCGTGCCCAGGATACCAGCTTGCCCGTGGGGGCCTTTGTCTGGGAGGTGGAGAACAATGGCAGCCAGGACCTGGACGTCTCCCTCATGTTCACCTTCCGGAACGGCATGGAGACCAAAGAGGACCGTGCGGGCGGCCACTGGAACGAGCCCTTCGGCCTGGAGAGAGACGGCCACTGCGTCCGGGGCGTGATGCTGCACCACTGCCTCCCGGTCAACTCCTACACGCTGGCCATCTCCGCCCGGGAGAAGGTATGGGGCTGGGGGCCGGGGACTCCCCACCGGGGGAAGGGGAGGGGTGATGGCGACCGAGCGGCCCTTGTGGCAGGGCCGGCCTGTCTCTGCCTTTACTCCCCCCCCCTCCCCGGTGGGTCCCCGCAGTGGCATCGCGCGTCGTTCTGCTCTCCTGCATTTTGGCTCTCGTGGTGGTAGGCGGGGCAGGATGGCCACGGGGGTCTCCCACGGGGCAGTTTCCCAGGCCGCATGAGGGCTTGGCCCTGCCCCCCCTCCCCGGGATCATCCCGCTCTGCCTCCTGGGCTCTCCGGAGCAGCCATTCCGGCCCCTCCACTGGATGAGCTGGTGGCTTCCTGCGTGGTTCTTCGTCGCAGCAGGGCTGATGCTCCCGCTTCCCTAAGGCGCGGGAGCGGCCAGGAGGATCCGGGGCACGAAACTCCCCAAATTCCTCTCCGGGGGCAACGAGAGGCAGGTGCTGGGCAACTGTTGCCTCCTCCCTCCCTCCCTCCCTCCCTCCGGTGGCCTTGGCTGTGCCAGCTGGGCTGGGGCCCGGGCAGGATGAAAGGGCGCTCCGGGGCGGGGAGGGACGCGCAGGACGGAACACTTCCTTCCTTCCAGGAGAATGGGCGTCATCGTGGAAACTGCCTTCTCGTGGAAACTGCTGCTGTGGTTTCCCTGCGTTGTCTTTATCTGCTTGAAAGGTGTGGTGAGGATGTGGCATTTGGGCTGTGCTTTTGTTATGAATTCGGCCTGAGAGAGTGTTCCCTCTGAGCTGAGTGAGTGTGAGCTAGCTCACAGTATTTTAGCCTCCAGCTCACACATTTTTTGTCTTAGCTCAGGAAGGATGGGGCTCCAGAGCAGACTCATTTATGCAGCAGCCAAATGGCTCATAGCTCACAACTTTAATGCCGGGAGCTCACAAAGCGGAGTCTTTGCTCAGGAGGCTCCACAGCTCAGAGGGAGGATTGGCTGGGACCAATGTTCCCTCTAAGCTGTGGAGTCTTGTGAGCAAAAATTCAACTCTGTGAACTACTGGCATTCAAACTGCGAGCAAGTGATCTGGCTACTGTATAAATCAGTTTGGAGCCGTCCTTCCTGAGCTAAGACAAAAATGTGGGAGACAGAGGCTAAAAAACGATGAGCTAGCTCACCCTAACTCAGCTCAGAGGGAACACTGGCTGGGACTGCGTTCACAGTGGGCCCTTGGTGGGCTTTGTGCTCTTGTGGCCGTCCTGCCCTGCCAAGGAGGCCCCGGAACACCGCCAGGGTGCCACCGTGGGCTGCTGCGGTCATGTCAAAGGGGCAGTGGCATCGTCCAGGGCAGGGACTCCCTACGCGTGAGAGTGGCTTTTTCCTGTGCTTCCGGGGAAGGACCGGAGAGCTGAGCCGGCCACGTTGGGTGGCATCAGTGGGACCTTGTTTGGGGAAATGGAAGTAACGCGGAGTGATTTGGGGACGGAGGGCGTGGGCCATTCCCCCCGGCTGATATGGGGGGGGGGAGAAGGGGAGCTTCTCTGGGGGGGTCTGCAGCAGGAGTAGCCCCACTTGGCCATCGAGGCAAGGCTCACATGTGATCTCGGGGGGGGGGGACGGGCTTGCCCAGGAAGCGGAGGAGAGTCTCCCTGCTGGCTGTGCCCTGGGGACAGGCTGCCGCCTGGTCTTTGCGGAGGAGGGGGGAGGGGGGAGGCCTCTCCCGGCGAGGAGCCTTTTCACCCTGGGGCGGGGCGGGGCCTGTCCAGTCCCGGCTGCAGGCTGTGTTTGGACACAGAGCCTCAGGCCGAGGTCTCCTTCCACGCCTCTCCTGACAGGGAGGGTGGGGACGGAAGCCCCGTAGCTACATGGAAGCATTGCCCCCGACTTCCTATCAAGGCCCCACAACCTCCCCACCTGTCAGCAGCCCCACAGGCTCCATCCTGGGCTGGCGGCCAAATCGGGCAGGATCCGTTTTGGCCAGCAGCAAGAATACGGCGTTCAATTTCGGCAGTACTAGCGGATTTGGGGGGGGGGTTCAGCCAGCCGAATGTCAATTTCGGCCCCATTATATCCTATGGGCCATTGAAGGCAATGGCGAAAACATAGGGTATATTTTAGGGGTCTGGAGGGGATGTGGCTTGAGGGAGAGGCTCCAGACTCACAGGGTAGTTGCTGGAGCCTCTCCCCAAGATACCCACCAGGTTTCAAGAACATTGGACCAGGGGGGGGCAATTCTACGGGCCCCCAAACAGGTTGCCCCCATCCCCTCCATTGGCGGTGGGTGGAGGTGTGACCAAGGCAAAGTCACCATGGAAGCACGAAGTCAGCCAGGAAGAAAGAAATAAGGAACCGAACAGGAGCCCGCCGCTTTCGCCGTAGTTCCCTGCACTCCACACAGCCAATGCGTTGCGGTTGCGGGGGGGGGGGGATGGATGAGAGGAGGAGGGGATCCTCCTCAGCTTACTTGGAGTCAGTGACTGACTTCCACTTACACCCACCCTCCGCAATAGGGGAAATAGCCCTGCTCCTGCCTGCGAGTGTGAGTTTATTTTATTTCTATTTTATCAGTGACCCCTGACTTATTTAAAGGCCCCCTGAATTAAGGAATCCCGACTACGGGCCTGGTGGACGGGCACCCTCCCCTGCTTTCTTCTTTTTTTTGTACTCCACCTGGCACCACAGGCCAGAGGTGGGGGTTGCCTGTGGGGGAGGGTCTGCCCCTGGTGCCCCCAGCCGCCCGGGGCGTGCACGTGGCAGTGCCCTTTCAAGTGTGGTCTCTGGCTCTGCCCACGGGTTGGTGTTCATCTGTTGCTCTTTCCCCCGTCTCTAGGTAGGCACCACAGTTACCCACTTGACAACGTTTGACCCTGCCGGCACTGGGCAGGACGTTTGGCATGACCTCCTGGCAGATGGCAAGCTGGAATCCCCGCCAGGTGAGCTGCAGTCCCCAGGAGGGAGGGAGGGAGGGAGGGAGGGAGGAAAAACCCACCCCCCACCCCCCACCCAGGGACTAAGGGGTGCAGGTCTCCGACCGGCACGCTCTCTTTTGCAGGGAAGAGCAAGCCTACAGAGAAGGGGGAGGCTTGTGCGGCCGCCGTGTGTGCCAGCTGCACGGTGCCAGCCCATGGGCAAGGGACGCTGGAGTTTGGCCTGGCCTGGGATATGCCGCGTATTCACTTTGGGTCCAAGGAGCGGGAGCACCAGAGGTGAGCCTGAGCTGTGTTCTGCTGCCCCCCTCGCGTGTGCACACGGGCCGACCCCCCCCTTCCCCCGCTCCCTGGCAGGGAGTTGCTCGGTGCTAACTCAGCTTCTTGGCATCGCCTACGGGAGTCTTGGCACGTGCGCCCCCAGGGGTCCATACAGGGGATGTGGGCCAGGATCAGGCCACTGGGCGGGGGTTTTGGGGTGGGTCCAACCGGCTTTTCTCATGGAAAGGAAGGAAGGGTCCCTGTTGACCAGTGTATCCTGTATGCTGAGTGAGTGTGAGCTAGCTCACAGTTCTTTTAGTCTCCAGCTCACACATTTTTGCCTTAGCTCAGGAAGGAGGGCTCCTGAAGAAACTAATCTATGTAGTTGCCAGATCGCTCGCTCACAACTTTAATGCCAGGAGCTCACAAAGTAGAATTTTTGCTCACGAGACTCCACCGCTTAGAGGGAGCGTTGCTGCTGACCTCGGCTTGCAGTTGCACGGAGGCTCATGAGGCCTGTAAGCAGAAAGCGTGGCTCCATCCACACTGCTCTGGGATGCCCCCCTGCACCACTAGGAGGCTGGACGGTGTCCCGGCTGGTGGAAGCTCCCCCTCCCCCACCCCAGGGACGCTCCGGCAGAGCCGGGCGTGGGAGTTCCCGGAGGCCTTGGCAGCCAGCCACTTCTCCTCTGCAGTCAGCCCGGCCTTGAGCGGCTTGCTCCTGCAGCACAGAGCTGGTTGGTGACTTGGCATGGTCCACTGGCAGTGCCCTCCCTCACCCCCCTTCTGTGGTGCAGAGGTCTGGCCTTCGGGTGGCTGCGGGCGTCCAGCTCCCCCACCCGGCTGTCCTGCCCTGCCTGTGGGGCGGGGGGGGGGGTCATCGGCCCTCTCCGGAAGAGCAGAGGCGCCAAAGGTTAAGGCAGCAGAGTGGCCCTCCTCCCCCGGCCAACAGTGCGGAGGCGCTCCAGGGTCCTTGCGCAGCTCCAGCGGTGCCACTGAGCATTACTGCCACTCTCAGTTGTGGCCCTCTGCTCTGGAAGAGGCCCCTCCCTCCCTCGCAGGAGCAAAACAAGGAAGCCGGGTGAAAGTCCAAGGGCGGCAGCCAAGAGGCGGAGACTGCCACGGCAGGGCTGGACCCAAGTCCCCTGGCCCCTTGAAGACCAACAGGGGGGGCGGGGTGTTATTGCAGCACTGCCCCCCCCGCACACTTGGAGGCTGACCTGCTCCCCCCCTCCCCCTAGGGACTCTCAGGAGGAAGTCCTGGTGCAGGGTTTGTTGGCCCCGGCGGGGGGGGGGGTTCCCATGGAGCGGGAGCACCTCCTCCCCTTCCTTCGATATAGACAGCTGAGGGGCAGGAAGGGGAGGCCGTCCACGTCGGGCTTTTCCTTCCAGGCTGGAGCCACAAGAGGGCAGCAGAGGTCCAGCTGCCCCCCCCCCCCCCCCCCCCGGCCCCCCGAAATCGACGACAAAAAAAAATGCATACTGGTTGTGTTCCCTCTAAGCTGAGCTGGTGCAAGCGAGCTCACAGTTTTTTAGCCTCCGGCTCACACATTTTTGTCTCAGCTCAGGGAGGAGGGCTCCAGAGCAAACTCGTTTCTGCAGCGGCCCAATTGCGTGCTCACAACTTTAAGGCCAGGAGCTCACAACGTAGAAGTTTTGCTCGCAAGACCCCACCGCTTAGAGGGAGCCTTGGTGGCCATCCAAGCTCCACCCAGGCCAGAGGCACAGAGCACTGGAGCCCCCGCTGCCTGGCTGCCCTCCCTCTCCCCACTAATCGTCTGTGGGCAGCCAGTGAGGCCAGGCCGCTCCAGGAAGGATGCCTCTGGGGGGGGGGGCGCCCCCCCACCCCCGCTCTGCCACTGTCTGTCTGCAGACTTGGGAGACCCCTTCCGCAGGACACCTCCTCTCAAAAGACTCTCTGGTTGTTGTGGAGATTCTTTGACGTTTTGATGGGTGGGGCTCACCCTCTCCTTGGGTGTGGATCCTGCGCCTGGGCATGGCAGATGAGGATGCCCGCCCGCACTGCAGGAGAGAGAGCGCAATGAGCAAGGCCCCCCCCCCCCCCCCAAGTCGATATTAAAAACAGCCGCCACAAAACCAACACTTGGGATGAAATCATAGCCACGAGGCAGTCTTCAGGTGAGAAGCACACCGTAAAACGGCTTTAAAAAGATGAGTCTCTTCCCTTAAAAGCCTGGGTGAAAAGAACCGCTTTGGCCTGGCACGTAAAAGATGGCAAGATGGGCAGCGGGGGTGCCTCACGGGGGAGGGCACTCCACGGGTGAGGTGCCACCCCCTGGAAAGTCCTGTTTCTCACCACCTCTGCAGGTGGGGACATGGAGAACGGGGCTTCGGAATGGCGCCTGAACGGGTGGGGTGGAGAGTGCCGGAGGGGAGGGGGCGTTCCTCCAGGTGCCCCGGGGGCCACAAGCCACAGAGGGCCTTCGGAGCAATCTGAGTTGTGCCTGCACACCAACGGGCGGCCAGTGCGGATCCTTCAGTGGCCTGGCGGCTGCACTCTGAGCCAGACGAGGTTTCTCAGCCGTTTTCCGAAGGCAGCCCTGTGCCCAGCGCTTCCCAGGGACCTGGATGGGATATGCGCCCAGAGCCTGGGTCACCGTGGCCAGATGATGTTTTCGGAGGCACAGCTGAAGCCGACCAAAGGCACCGCCTGCCCTGGAAGAGCTCTGAGCCTCCCCTTCCTCCTGCCCGTCCCCCCACCCCACCCCGCATGGCATGACGCTGGGCCGTCCCTCCGCCACCTAAGCACAGGCAGGCAGCCTCTTGTCCCCCTTCCCCCGCAGGGCTGGCTGCCACGCCCAGGGACCACGCCCATGTGGACCTGCGACCCTCCCACCCGCCTGGGGCGCTGGCAGCCCCCTGCTCCTCCTCCTCCTCCTCTTCCTGTGGCATCTTTGGGCCACAAGCACACCTTGGGAGACTTGCAACATGCGGCCTCGCCACAAGACAGTGAGAGTCGTAGGGTCTTCCACAGCAGAATGGACCCCGACCCCTTCGTAGACGTTCATGCACCTGATTTGGGGGGGGGGCTGCCTAACCAAAATCCTCTGGCCTGTAAGTGAGCTGCTGGTCCGGATGCTGCTGCCCCCAGAAGGCCGGACCCGGGGGGGGGGGCGTCCGCAGGCACGAGGAGGATCCTCTGATCAGAGTGCAGCAACCTGGGAAGGTGTGGGAGGGCCGGGCCGGGGCCCTTACGGTGACCCTGTTCTGTGGCCACAAGAGGGGCGGCTGTTGGAGGGTGTTCAGCCGCCGCGTGGCTTGTGATGGGGGACGGGACGGTTTACCACGGCCCGTGCTTCTGCTGTTAAAGCACTTTCTCTCTTTGGGCTGGTGTGCGAATTAGCTGCGTGAACACAGCGTTCCGGTTCTCTGACGGTGGGGAAGCCCCCTCCTTTTGGGATTCCTCCTCTCCTCCCTGGGGGGATCCCTCCCCTTCTCTCCCTTCCTTCCGACCCCTCCCAGTTCAGCATCCGTCCATCTGCCAGGTCACGTGCTGCTGATGACGTTTTAGGGCTTGATGTTTTGTTAGGTGTTTCGGTTCCATTGGGAAGCCAGAGAAACGCGATCCAGGTTGTACAAGCCCTGGCCCCACTGGTGGACCTCCTGAGGGCCCCTGGTGTTTCTGGCCACTGTGTGACAGACAGAGTGTTGGCCTGACCCGACACGGGCGTCTCTTCTGTTCTTAAGCTTCTGAAAGGGATCTGCTCCTCTATTAGGATGAGACTCCAGCTTGTCCCCCAGACTGTGGTAGAGATTTCTTACATGCCCAGGGAAATGCCGATGATAGCCACTTTGGGCCACTCGGGAACAGTGTTCCCTCTAAGCTGAGTTAGTGTGAGTTTTTTATCCTCCGGCTCACACATTTTTTGTCTTAGCCCGGGAAGGATGGGGCTCCAGAGCAAATGAATGTATGCAGCAGCCAAATCACTCGCTCACAACTTTAATGCCAGGAGCTCACAAAGTAGACTCTTTGCTCACAAGACTCCACCGCTTAGAGGGAGCATTGCTTGCAAGCAGTGTTCCCTCCAAGCTGAGTTAGTGTGAGCTGGCTCACAGTTTTCTAGCTTCCAGTTCACACATTTTTGTCTTTGCTCAGGAAGGATGACTCCAGAGCAGACTCGTTTATGCAGCAGCCAAATGGCTCACTCACGACTTGAATACCAGGAGCTCACAAAGTAGGATTTTTGCTCACAAGACACCACCGCTTAGAGGGGGCATTGGTCAGGAAGCAACTTTCCTCCAGGAGATCCTGGAGGTTTTTTGCCCTCTTCTGGGTGTGGAGCAGGGGTCACTGGGTGTGTGTGTGGAGGGGGAGGTATGTGTGAATTTCCTGCATTGGGCAGGGGTTGGACTAGATGACCCTGGAGGTCCCTTCCGCTGAGTCTGTTTCCCCTGCCGAGGCCAGGCAGACCTGCACTGTTTGTGACAGGGGTCAGAAAACACCGCCACGTAGGAGCCTCTCAGCAGGAGGAGGAGGAAAAAGGAGGAGGTGGTGTGTTGTGCTGTGTGGCTGCCGATACCCCCATGAGCCAGTTAGAGAGGAATCGCCTGGGCTTGTCTTTCCCCGCCCCCCTCTTTTCACTCCCTGTTCAAGAATGAAGAGGGGGAAAGGCTGCGAGGGGTCCTCTCCTGCCGTACCGGGAAGGAGATCTTTGGGCAGGACTCGTCTTTGTCTCCCGGTGCAGGATCTCCAACCCCGGTGGGTGCCCTGCTCTGGCAGCATCCGCTCCTCCTCCGGGATCTGCCCTTTCCTTTGCCGTCCACCCGGGGAGTAGCTGTCCCCCCCCACACACACACACGGGTGGCCTCCCGTTCCTCACGTCCAGCGGCCTCTGGCTCCTGAGCTCTGCTCCCCTCTCCTGTCGCTCCCCAGTCTGCTCGCAGCTGCTGCCCTTTCCCCAGCCGCTGGAGCCGGATCTCTGCTTATTGGTCCAGCTGCTCACCATAGCGCCCCCTCGGATATGGGGTGTCAGCAAGGGGAAGTGGGATGTCTTCACGAATCCCAGCCACTCTGCTGAATCCGTGTTGCCTGTCCTAAATTCCCTGTGCAAAGCGGAAAATAAGCCCACCTTCCTCCCGGCAGTGTGTTTACACACCAAATGTCACAAGCTGCCCCTTGTTTCTTCCCTGACCTCTGGCGGCTCTTATTCCACGTGTGAAAGGACAGACTTGCCACGTCCCATTCCCTGTGGGTCCCCGGGAGGTGGGACAGCCCTGCAGCCCCCCCCCTTCGGATAGGAAGAGCGACCGGGTGGGGGGTGTCTTTCCACGGGGGTCAGGCTTGGAGCGTTCTGTTCCTGCTTCGGAAGAATCCATTTAGAGGCATGGGGGGGGCCTCCCTGTCGGGTAGCCCCGCCATGAAGTTTTTCCCTTTCTGCTGGAATGTGCTCTGCTCTGCAGCTGTGTATCGGTTTTGCTCCTTATCGGCAGGCTGGCCTTGAGTGCTCACCGCTTGGCCACGAATGTCTCCGAATCCACTATATCTCCTACTGCCATTTTGTATGCGTCATTCCTGACTCGAAGGGTCCAAGTCGACTTCACCTTACTCTGATCAATAAAGTTGAATCTGCTTAAGAACCTGCTATTGATACTGAGTCATTGAAATACCTGACACTCCCGAAGCAGGCCTCTGCGCGGGGTGGCCCACGGACCCTGGGGGAACCCACACACACGCCCACTCTCCCCCACTGGGCCCCCCCAAGTGAGATCAAAGAGATCTCTTGCCTTGTCCCTCTCCGTTGCCCCCCCCCAAGAAGGGCTGAGCGCCGTGGTGCTGAACAAGGGCTTCTCGTGGGAGGGCCCCCCGGCAAGCAGCAGCAGCAGCCCCTCCACGCAGCCCAGGCAGGTGGCTTGTTCGTTCCCTCCCTCTGCAGGCGATACACCCGGTTCTTCGGCAGCGATGGGGACGCCTGCCCTGCCCTCTCCCACCACCTGCTCACGCACTACGAAGGGTGGGAGGAGAAGATCGAGGCCTGGCAGAGACCCATCTTGGAGGACAGGTACCGCCGGGGCCCCTCTGAGCTGCCCTGTGGCCAACCGCGACCCCCCCCCGGGGGAGGGGGCAGGGCCAGATGCCTGTGGCTGTTTCTCGGGCCGTCATGTGCCAGTCTTGGGGTGCTGCTGAACTGCTCGCACATCCTGTTCTGTTGTGTGGGGTGAGGTGGGGGGGCTCTCTGGCCGGAGGCCAACCTGGGAAGTAATCCGCCAAAGGTCCCTGGGCCACTTTGTGGGCCTGGTTGCTGGGAGAAGCCTTTGCTGTTCCCTGGCGGGGGCCTTCCCCTGCACCTGTGAAGCCTGCCCCCGGCCCTCTTTGCTTTTAGTTTCTGGAAGACGAACTGTAGCCGTTTGGACGGCGTGCCGTTTGTGTGCACACGCCCGAGAGTCTCGATTTAACGGGGCAGGTGGACACTGCAGGGCCCCCCCCCCAGTCTGTGATGGAAGGAAGCATCCCAAGGGGGGAGACGGGGGGCACTCCTGGGACATGGCGGCACACGAGTGAGTGCTTCTCTCACCCCTCCAGCGAGCTGCCTGCTTGGTACAAGTCAGCCCTCTTCAACGAGCTGTATTTCCTGGCTGACGGAGGGACCGTCTGGCTGCAGCTCCTGCCAGAGGACGCTGCCTCCCTGGCCGCCAAGCCCGGCCTCCTCTCCCAGCACCTCCCGCTCCTGCAAGAGTATGGCAGATTTGCTTACTTGGAAGGTAAACGGCGGGGCCGTGGGGGGGGGCAGCATCGGGTCAGGTGGGGGCAGCTGGGAGGGAGCCGATGGAGCTGCCGGCCCTTTGCACAGAGGGGGAGCCGCTCTCTCTCCTCCCCACCCCCACCGACTGCTTTCCCTCTGCTGCTCCCCAGGCCAGGAGTACCGGATGTACAACACCTATGACGTCCACTTCTACGCCTCCTTTGCCCTCGCCATGCTGTGGCCCAAGTTGGAGCTCAGCCTGGAGTACGACGTGGGTGGGTGAGCCAGCGAGCGCGGCCGGGCGGGGCCCAGTCGGGAAGCAGAGGCTGGGCGGTTGGAGGAGGGACACAGGCAGAATGTTCTGTTGTGGGCTGTCCTGCCACCTCGTGGGCTGCCACCTTCCTCTGCCACCACTCTGGAGGACTTAGGGTCTCTCTGGAAGGTCCAGAGTATCCCCCCCCCACCAAGCCCTACCAAAAATGCCCCTTTTTAAGCCGAGAAATATAGGCATGATGACCAGGCCGAGAACATTAAAATGGTTTATTAATACAGTAATGGGGCAAGGAGAAACAAGACAAGGGTGCTTAATATGTAACAGTGTCTAAAGGTAAATAAAACAAATCTAACACGGCTACCTATTCTCTTAACTGGTTACTATTCAAGGTCCACAGCCTTTTATGCCAGGCCTGTGCCGGTACTCACTCTGTCCCAAAGTGAAGGATCTTTCTCCCAGACCAGAGTGTCCTCTCAGATTAACTCTGTGAGAGCAAAGAACGCAGTTCCACAGCCCACTAAGTTTTAGTAACAATCCCCTCATACAATCCCTGGACACCGATTGGTTGCAATCATGACGGGTGAAAAGCAAAAAGGGGGACTGGGAACAAATAACAATAGAGCCATGCGAGCCCCAAAGAAATGAACCTGAAATGCTTCTCGGGCAGAGCAGCTGACAACATTGCATCCCTCCAGAGAGGGGAGCCGCCAGGGGCTAGCAAGCTGGAAGCGCCTGCCCACTCCGCAGCCTTCCGTCCCCCTCCAGCCCGTGCAGTTGAGAACTGAGCTCTCTCGATTCGCCCGGAGTCTCAGGGGCCATTTCCTTGGCTCCTGTAGGACTGGGGGAGAGCTCTGCCTGCCCTGTGCCCTGTGCCCTTTCCCCTTTCCTTGCTCCCGTGGCACGCAGAGGAGCCCCCCCTCGCCCAGGGGTGGGGACAGCGTCCCAGACACTCTGCCTTGCATTGCGGTGTCTCGTTTCTGTCCAGTCCTTTTTCAGAGGGACAATGACTTCTGGGTTTCTCCAGGCATCGTCCCTGCTTGCGTAAAGCCTGCTCAGGGCAGCTTCGCTGGGCTCGGTGTTGCCCCCACCCCGCTGCCGCCTTCAGCCAGGTTCCCGGAGACACAGCCCTCTGCTGCTTCCCTGGCATTCTGGGGAGGTTACAGGGAGTCCAGCATTTCTGTCCTGGCCCTCCCGGAGCACTCAGGGCTGTGCCTGTCCCCTGCCCACTCCGCCTTCCCTCGGACTCATTCCCCCCCCCCCCGCCAGAAAGCTCGTCTGTGCCCCGTCCCCTTCGTTGGCACCTCCAGGCCCTGAAGTCTCTGGCTGTTGTTGCTTGGCTAGGTGGGCAGAGGGTTAGGTTGGGGCGAGCCCGCCTGCCCAGCCCCAGGGGCTCTTTGGGAGTTCCTGACTCTCCTGCGTAGGTCTCTGGCATTGCCTTCTTGCTTCTGCCAAGCTGGCCTCAGCACAGTTTTCCCTCTAGTCCAGCCGGCAGTTTCCGGGTGGGGTCTGGTGGGTGGGGAGCAGTGTGCCATTCAGGGTGGGGAGGCACCCAGACCCCCCCCCCTCGGGCTTCACCAGTGGCTTCTGTAGGCTCCCTGGAAGGAAAGGGGGAGAGGGTGCGGGCCTCTCACGCTTCCTTCCCCCCGGTGCTCCCCAGCTTCTGCCGTGGTGAATGAGGACCCTCGGCCTCGGGTGTACCTGATGAGCGGGCAGACGGCCCAGGTCAAGCTGTGCAACGTGGTGCCTCACGACATCGGGGACCCAGGTAAGGCTGTGTGGGCAGGGTGCAAGCGTGGCAGGGGCCAGCCAGTGTCTCCGGCTCCCGGGCAGGCGTGGCTTCCTGGGGAAGTTCTGAGAGGATGAGACGTGGGAGTTTGCCACCACTGGGTGTCCTGTTCCCACAGAAAGAAGTCCTTGCCAGGCTCTGGGGTCCCGGCAGGACGGCCTCTTGCCACTGTGCCGTCAGTCAGTCAGTCTCTTCCCCGCCCCCCCAATCACAAGGTAGTTTTTAGCTTTATTTATGGCTGAAGCCAGCAGTTAACATTTCAAACACAACAAAATTAATAGATAGTAAGAACCCCTGTAAACAATGGTAAAAGAAGCTTAAAACAACAATAAAATGCATTTTAAAATTCTTAAGAGACAGACAGTTAACAGTAATATGATTGACATTTAACTTGCTGCATTATTATAGATTTTCCAATTCTTGAAGCTAGCCATCCATATCTAGCCACTCGGTAGGTTGCCTGTCCGCAAGGAGGTTTTTCATAGTACGAACTCTTTGCCTACTAGTGAGAGGGAAAAGCCTGGGGAGCGGAAGTGATTTACGGAGATCATTATAGACCTTACAGTCGAACATAACAGGTTCTGAATTTTCAGTACCTTTGTTACAGCAGGGGCACATACATTCCTCAAACAGGATTTTCTTATACTTCCCATCTGTCATGCTACCCCCGTGGGTCGCCACCTTCCTCTGCCACCACTCTGGACTTAGGCCCAGAGTACCCTCCCAAGCCCAGCCAAAACGGCCCCTGTTAAGCCAAGAAAATATAGGCGTGATGACCAGGCAGAGAACATTAAACAAATGGTTTATTAATACAGTAATGGGCAAGGAAACAAGACAAGGTGCTTAAAATATATATAAAAGTGTCTAAGGGTAAAATAAAACAAATCTAACGAGGCTACCTATATCTCTTAACTGGTTACTATTCAAGGCCCACAGCCTTTTTATACCAGGCCTGTGCCTGTACTCATTCTGTCCCAAGTGAGGGACCTTTCTCCCAGACCAGACTATCCTCTCAGCTTAGCTCTGTGAGAGAAAAGAACGCAGTTCCTCAGCCCACTAAGTTTCAGTAACAATTCCCTCATACAATCCCTGGACACCGATTGGTTACAAACGGCACCAAGCATTGTGGGGATTGTAGGCTGTGTCTGCTTTCCACTCCGACACAGGTCTCCTGGGCCTAGGCCTCACTAGGCTTTGCCTCCCAGTCCTACACAGATCATGACACCCTCTGTAATCGCTAGAAGAAGA